AGAAAGAAGAGAAAGAAGAGGAAGAAAGAAGATGGATCGAAAGAGGGGAAGAAGCTCAAGAAAGGGAGACAAGGGTATTAAGGTAAATTTGTAATTTTTTATTTTTTATTAAAAATATAAATGCTAATCTACTTTGGTATATGAGTTGATGTTTTTATTTGTACATGTAATCAAATTATATGATGTGTTATTACTATGTCATAAAAAAAAAATTTTTTAAATGCCACCGTGAAATTTTTTAGTTGTCATGTCACAAACAATTGACGGAAGGACTAATATTGTGTATTTTTTAGAGTTGAAGAATAAAAAAAATATATAAAATACTTTAAAGACAAAAAATGTGTAAATCGATAAAGTTGAGGACCAAAATAAGCATTTAACCATATATATATATATGAAAATAATGCCTATCAATCATAACTCCTAAAGATTAAAAAAAAAAAATCATTTCAAAACTACATCATTTTAATAAATTTTTATTAAAAAAAAACTAAATTACTTTATTTTTAAAATATGCATTAAGTTGATTTTATATATATATATATATATATATATAAACACGCTCGAAAACACTTAAAAAATTTAATTAAATGAAATGGGCTAGGTGAGGAGCGGTTGGGATAGAGAGAAGGGAATCGGATGGCTGGGGTTCTGTGCCTCCCTCCTCCGATTTTGCCTATAAAAGGGAGAAGGATTTCAGGAGAGGAAAGCGAAGAATCTAGGAGATCATTGTGAGTTCGGGTTGGAGGAATCAAGAGCAATAGAAAGTCCGAGCTTTGTTTTCGGAATCCGAAGGTTACTGCAGACATAGGTATCATTTTGTTTTGATTTATTTTATGTATGTCTATTGTACCCTGATATTAAATGGGAATTTGAGTTTGCTCTTGAATTTGTTGTGAATTTATTCTGAGTTTCATTCGATGTTTATTGTGCATTGGGAATTTCTTGATTGGACATGAATTTGTGAAATTATCATGTAAAAGGGTTCCGTTGAGCTTGGTTTAGGCTTAGGATCTGTTTTTCTATTTTTAGAAAATTTTCTGGAATTTTTCTTGAAATTTTTTAAGTTGTCGGAAACTGCACAGTTGGGCCAGAATTCAATCGGAGCACCTTTGCAAACTTACCAACCCAACTACTCTGCTGATATCTCAGTTTAAAGTTACTTCATGGTTAGATGATTCTGTCAATAAGCTTGTGGTGATCTCTCTAATGATTTTATGGCATTTTTGTGAAGTAAATCTGCATGATTTAACTATCTTAGTCATTTCTATGCCTTTCGCTAGGATTGGTTCTGCAAAAATCTGCCTAGTATGTTAATTTGACTATTAGCCACTGATTGATCAAACTGACTAAACAGAGTTTCGGTTATATATAATTAATTATTCTACTGGTCTTTAGCTCATAATAACAATTGCTGGTCTATAACATCTACTTATTGACGTAGCACAAGCTGGTTGTAACACTTATGGTTTAAGCTTCTAGCACAATGCAAAAGAAATTCCCCAAAGCTTTGAAATAAAAGCCAACAAGAAATGAGCAAGAGACTTGGTCACTTACCAGATCTGAACTGCCTAGCCACGCACAAGGATAGCAAACACAAGACAAGAATTCTGAGAGACGAGGAGAGATATATTGTGTTTGTGAGAATTCCTGAAAGATTTGATCAGATGAAAGCCAAGAAATGAGAAAAAGACTCACCAGATTCGAAATGCTTAGTAGCTACACAGAAGGATAGCAAAAGCTGGAGAATTAATTCTTCTGAGAGACAAAAAGAGATTGTATTTGTGAGATGAATTAAGTTGAGATAACCAGAAATATGTTGGCTTTAGTTTGAATGCTTGACTGAACTGCTTTTTCCCTGTTTCTTTCTGCTTTTACTCTCTTGGAAACCAAAATAGCTGTTTTCCAAGATTGTAGGGCCATAGCAATGGCATTTTTCCGTGATATTTCCCTTTTGCTTAACAAATCTTAAATTTTCTTTCACGAGGAAATTAAATCAGATTGATCCTAGAAAGTCCTTAGTATAGACAAAGGAAATTATGTGAAGGACAAGATATATGATGGCTTTAGTTTGAATGTTTGACTGAACTGCTTTTTCTCTGTTTCTTTCTGCTTTTACTTTATTGGAAACCAAAATAGCTGTTTTCAAAGATTGTAGGGCCATAGCAATGGCATTTTTCCGTGCTGTTTCCCTTTTGCTTAACAAATCTTAAATTTTCTTTCACGAGGAAATTAAATCAGATTGATCCTAGAAACTCCTTAGTATAGACAAAGGAAATTATGTGAAGGACAAGATATATGATGGCTTTAGTTTGAATGTTTGACTGAACTGCTTTTTCCCTGTTTCTTTCTGCTTTTACTTTCTTGGAAACCAAAATAGCTGTTTTCAAAGATTGTAGGGCCATAGCAATGGCATTTTTCCGTGATATTTCCGTTTTGCTTAACAAATCTTAAATTTTCTTTCACGAGGAAATTAAATCAGATTGATCCTAGAAAGTCCTTAGTATAGACAAAGGAAATTATGTGAAGGACAAGGAAAGAATGGCACCAGATATTGGGACTGATTACTTTCTGATCAAATTTTCTACCTTTCACTTCCCAATTAAAGACGATCGAAAAATTAGAAACAGTGTTAAAGAAGGGAGAAAATCCCCATTAAAAAAAATAATAAAAAATATGTGAGTTAAAGTACTTTACATTATTTTAATTAATTTTAAATTAAATATAAATTTTATCTTCAAACTCATATGCATACTCAAAGTTTTATTCTTAAAAAATCTCATAATAAAATCTACACTGCAATTCATCTAACAAAACTTGAAATTAATGGCCTATTAAATTTTCATACAAAAAGTATAAATCCCAGTGAAGAAGCAAAGAGACCAGTATCAAATTTTCTTCTTTATCAACGTATCTTAGGAAACCCCTCTATAATAGATGTGGGTTATGAGTTACGCTTGGCTTAATTCAATTTTTAGTCTATTAATTATCACTTTGATTTCATTTTAGTCTAAAAACTATGTTTTATTTCTAAGTGGTCTATTAACTTTCAGATTCATTTCAATTTCTTGGATCAAAGATAACGAAAAACTTCCTATTCTGTTAGAGAACAGTTAGTCCTCTAACTATATTTTTTTTTATCTTTTAGTTCTCAAATTTATATTTGTTATAAAAATAACTTTTATACTTAAAATTATTATTTTTAGGCTTTGATACAAAGTTATTTTTATTATTTTTAGGCTTTGATACCAGATTTTTATACTTAAAATTATTATTTCTAAGTGATCTATTAACTTTCAGGCTCTAATACCAAATTAAAGAAATAGGAAAACCCGTATAAAAATCTGGTATCAGAGCCTATAAAAAAAAATTTAAGTAAAAAAGTTATTTTTATAACAAATATAAATTTAAGAACTAAAAGATCAAAAAAATATAGTTAGAGGACTAACTGTCCTCTAACAGAATAGGAAGTTTTCCGTTATCTTTGACCAAGTAGACGAAATTGAAATGAATATGAAAGTTAATAGATCACTTAGAAACAAAACATAATTTTTAAACTAAAATAAAATCAAGATGATAGTTAATAAACTAAAAATTAAATTAAGCCGTTACGCTTAGGCTTGTCCAAACTCTGCCTTTCTTTATGGAGTTGACTTTAAAACCCATTATTGTGGATTTTTTTTTTCCACGAAAGTTGCTCTTTTTCCAACTTTTGTTGTTCTTTTTTCGTTTTTCTTTTTTTTATTGTCAAAACTCAAATGTTTTATGCCCCTAGGCCCCAACTAGTTCTTTCTCTATCTGATTTTTTTTTTTATAAGTTAGAAGATAAACAATGTAATAAAAAATAACTTTTTTCTTTTCAAATTCTTTTCAATTTATTTCAAAATTTAAATTCAACTTTATTTTTCTGATGCAGAACAGTAGGAGTAACATCTAAAATGGAAACATAGAAACATTTCTGAACTTCAGCTCGCTGAAAATAAAAGACAGGGGATTATATTTTTGTTCTTAAATCATGAACTTGGAGTCTTGGCTTGACAATAAGAAAAACAGGCTCCCTGATAATTATATAACATCTGCTACTGTTACACGGAGGGCAAAGAAAATCAACATTTTCCCTTTGAGTACAGGTAATATTGCTTAATTAGTAATAATAGATGTGGGACAATGTGTTAGACTTTGACTTGTCTATTGTCAGTGCCTTAAATTATGGAGTGACTCTGTAACCATTACTGTACATTTTTTTAATGAAATTTTCTCTTTTTCCAACTTATCTTTTCTTTTTTTTCTTTTTTTTTCTTTTTTTCTGTCGAATGTTTTATGCCCTATAACTAGTTCCATCTCAATTTGAACTTTATTATTTTTTTACATGTTAGCTGATATGCTAGTGGACTTCTTGTCCATTGACTCCTTTATGGGGTTGATTCCCTTATCCCTTATTGTTCATTTTCCTTCCTCGTGTTGGTTCCATGAAATTTACTTATTTTTCCCGACTAGTCTTGTTTCTTTAGACTGTCAAAAGTTTAGCTATTTAGATGAGCAATATTTTTGTTTTCTTACATGCCCCTAACTTCCATATCTCTATTTCTCCATTGCAAATGGCTTCTTTGGCAAGACTTAGCATGGTGTTTCTCCACGCTTTGATTTGGTCATTGCTGACCACTTCAAGTGTTGGCGTCTTCACCGATGTCAATTTCTTGAAATCTATCAAAGACTCCTTGGATGATCCATACAGTTATCTTAAAGCTTCGTGGAACTTCAACAACAATACAGAGGGCTTCATCTACAGGTTTAGTGGGGTAGAATTCTGGAGTCCGGATGAAAACAGAGTGCTTAACATTCAACTATCCGACATGAGTCTGAAGGGCCAGTTTCCTCGAGGAATAAGTGATTGCTCTAGCTTAACGGGGCTAGACCTTTCAAACAATGAGCTTTCTGGACCAATTCAATCTGATATATCAAGTATCCTTCCCTATTTAACTACACTTAAACTCTCATCCAACAATTTCTCAGGTGAAATCCCGAAGAGTTTAGCCAATATTAGTTTTCTGAATGTTCTTAATCTTGACCACAATCAACTAAAAGGTCATATCCCCCCAGAAATTGGCCTGCTTTCTCGACTTAGGACTTTTACTGTAGCTGATAATCTATTATACGGTCCGGTGCCTAATTTTTCATATGATTTCCCAAGTGATAGCTTTGCTAATAATCCGGTACTTTGTGGAAAACCTTTAGAGCCCTGCAAGAGTATGTCAAAACCAAGTCATAATATCAAAAATCGTTTCCTTCTGGGTTTTGTGGTTTCTGCTGTTTCAGTTATCACTGTTTTCATCTCCTGTTATGTGGTCTGGACACAAAGGAAGAAGAGGAGTAACAAAAGAAAGCAAGCTCAACAGACGGAGGAAATACCACATGTGGAGCTTTTACATGAAGAAAGCAAAGAGGTATAATCTTCTACTCTAGCAGAAAACTCACTTCAGTTTTGATGTTCCAGCAGGATTTTAGTATTACTATTGGAATTTGGATCTTAACGGTCTTCTATCTTGGGAAACTGGTTTCCAGACTGAATTATACAGAAATCAGTGAAGCAACGAAAAATTTTAATGAAGAAAATGTCATTGGAATTGGAAGGATGGGGACAACCTACAAGGCAGTGTTGCTTTTAATAAATCATTTTAGTGTATTAATTTATTAATAATATTTTAATCTTTTTATTATCCATCCTTGAAATTTGGGTTATGTATTGATTAGTGTATAACACATCTACATACTGGTCTTTGGATCATGATATCGATTACTGGGCTATAACATCTACTGATTGATATAGCACAAGCTGGGCTATAACACTTATGGTTTAAGCAAAAGAAATTCCCCAAAGCTTTGAAACAAAAGCCAACAAGAAATGAGCAAAAGGCTTGGTCACTTACCAAATCTTAACTGCCTAGCTGCTTAGAAGAATAGGAAACTCAAGACAAGATAATTCTGAGAGACAAAAATAGATATATTGTGTTTGTGAGAATTTCTGAAATCATTGAGAGCAACGCCAAGAAATGAAAAAAAAAGACTCACTTACCAGATCGCAAATGATTAGTGGCCCCACAGAAGGACAGCAAACACAAGAGATACTTCTCGGTAGGAAACAGAAATTGTATTTGTGAGAAGACTCAGCTGAGATAAACAGATATATGATGGTAGTGTGAATGTTTGATTGCACTGCTTTCCTTTTTTTCTTGTTTCTTTCTGCTTCTACTTTCTAGGAAACCAATATTAGCCTTCTCTTGTAGGGCCATGGCAAGTGAATGTTTCTGTGATATTTCGCTTCTGCTTGACTAATCTTACATTTTCTTTCTTTGCAATCAAGTAGTCTGTTCCACTTCTTTTTTTATTTTTTATTTTTATGAATATGTGTCTAGATTAGAGTTAAGGTTGTGAGAACGGAGCACGTTAAAAGGCCTTTTCCAAGGAGAAAAATGAGTTAAAAGTAGGTCAAATGTCAATTTTTGTCTATTAACTCGAAGGTTTTACATAATTTTTGTTCCTCTATTTTTTTTACGTATTTTTTTGGTTTTTTAATTATAAAAAAAATATTTTTTTTGTCATTTCATCAATTAATTTATTAAATTTATTTAAATAAATGCATTTTTAGTCCTTCAATTTATAATATATTCACATTTTTTGTTCCTAACTCAACAGACTAACAACAAAATAACTAAAAAAAGTGTATTTTTATAATTAAGAGACCAAAAAAATTGTATAAAAGAGTTGAGAGATTAAAATTGTACACAATCTTAAAATTGAGGGATTGAAATTGATATTTAACCTTGAAAGTATGAATTTTTCTAACCTTTGTCCAAATGTTAAGGTGCATCGGACAATCTAAAATGTTGATATTAATTTTATCACTTATGTCATGTGTACTATTAATTTTAATTAATTAATTGATAAAATTAAAATTAATTTTTTTATTTTTAATTTAATGGTTAAAAGGTAAAATAATTGCCCTATGTTTAAAACCTAAAAATATAACTGTAACATTAAAAGAGAGATGCAAATGGATCTGCCACCGCCTTCTGTCGGAATCATATCGTCCCCCCTCGTGTATGTTTTTGGAGCACTTCTTGAATTACATGGATGTTGCTGTGCCATTTCCTTTTATCCTTGTCATTTTCTTTCTGGAGGAGGGCCTCTCCTTTCCTTTTTCTTCTAGAAGGCTTTTCTTTTGCTAATTACTCTTTTAATTTATTTTTAATAGATTTAGTTTAATTTTTTTAATATTTAAAACATAAATTTTTTAAAAAAAACTTTAACAATTTTATATGAATAATGATTAAAATTTTTTTTGTCCATATATATAGTTCTCATTAAGTAAGTTTAATTGATCAAAAAAAAATTTAATTGTTATTTTATAAAATGTTAAATTTTTATTTAAAATTTATATTTTAAAAATAAAAAAATCAAACTAAGTTTATTAAAAATAAACGAAAAGATAAAAAAATTTCAATTGTTGTTTATATATATCGTTAAATTTTTATTTAAAATTTATATTTTAAAAATAAAAAAATCAAACTAAGTTTATTAAAAATAAACGAAAAGAGTAACTGATTTGGTGAATGTTTGAACAAGCACTCCATTCTCCTACTGATTTTACTTTATTTCTTTATTGAGTTTCATCAGAGAAATTACTAAACAAGAAATTAATCACCCAAATGGGAAAATTTCAGTCTTAGTCCATAGTGATTTTGGGATTTAGAAATGAAAACTGCAAAGAGGAAAAAGCTGTGGAATGATTGGGGAAAGAACAATGGAGGGGAAAGGAAAGTGAATGTGGAAAAGGGAAATCAAAGAAATAAGGGCGAGGGAATCAGCAAAATCAACTAGAAAAAGCCGGAATTTTTTGATGGCCATTCTTCGAGGATGAAAGATGCAACCTAGTTCCTGAGAGACATGAAAAAAGTGGTGACTGCTGAGTTGGATTAAAAATGAGGGGTATATAGTCAAATACTTAAAAAATATGTGTTGTTAACAGTTGGGTTGTGGCAATAGCGCCACCCCATATATAGGTGTATAGTTCTTAGTTTGGTTTTTCTCAAGATATTTGTATTCCTCAACCAAAATGCATGTCTTTCCAATGAATGAACCAATAAGTGGGACCCTTTGTTTCTTTTGTCGGTTGTAAGTTCGTGACTCTTTGCTTTTTATATTAGAATTCCAATTCAATATTATAGTCTTCCACCTAAATCACCCAACTTCTTTCTTCACTTGTCCCCAACATTAAGTTCGTTAGAAACTTCATGGTTGGCTGTAGAAACTTCTCTCCAACTTCTTCATTAAGAAGAAAATTCTTATCTGTGTCGAACGACATATGGCTTGCTTTACACACATATATATATATATAAGAAGTAATTTGGTTTTTCTCAAGATATTTGTATTCCTCAACCAAAAGGCATATATCTTTCCAATGGCTGAACCACATACTCATCACCCTTTTCCAGCACCAGTGAAAAATGCTCCGATCATTAACCCTCATTTTTGTGCTCCTTATACCGTTGATCTTCTGATCTTCAGGAGGGTCAGGGAGATGCAACACGGGGACTTTGTTGTCACGGATAGAAACACAGACATTATATTCAAACTCAAAGACGAATCCAAACACTCCCTCAATTCTAGAAGGGTCTTGCTTGATGCTGCTGATATTCCCATTATTACATTGAAACCCAAGGTTCGTTTCATCCATAATCCGTGATTTAATTTTGTGTTTTTTTTTTTTTCAGTAAAAAATATTTTATTAATCGAACTGCAGTGGTACTCCTCGCGCTATTTTCAATACATAGTTTTATAATTTAGATATATCAGAACGTTTTTTAATTAGTAATATGCAGTACCTCATCGGTTATGTCATTAATGGCGTTCTAACGATTAAGAATTTGAATTTTGAAAGATTTTATAGTTTAATCCATCCTAAAAAAAATTAGTTATGAATTAACATTGTCTGATTTTTTTACTACTTTAGTTAAATTGATTTGTTTGTTTTGCAGAACTTTTCTATGCATGATAGATGGGAAGTTTTCAAAGGAGAAAGCACAGATGCTACTGATCTCTTATTCACTGTTAAACGATCTTCAATTGCAATGTTCCAACGGAAGACAAAACTAGATGTTTTCTTAGCAAATAATACGGAGCAGAAGGTCCCTGATTTTAAAGTCAAAGGAAGTCGGAAACAAGGACCCTGTCTCTTTTACGCTGGAGAGTCTTCTTCTATTGCCGCTCAAGTAAGAAAAATCTTTATGCTTTTCAATTTCCAATACTAATAACTACAGCTACTACCTTTTTTATCTAATGTTGGTAAAGAGAAGTTGGAAAGAAAGAGTATAGAGTATGAATGGTTAATATTTATTTTATTTTTTATCTTATTTTTTACGTGAAAGTAAAAATTAAGATATTTTAATGTTAAATATTTTGACATTTTTAATGTTGAGACATCTTACTATTTTTGCATACTCAATTTTTCATAGACAATTTTTTATCTAAAAAAATTTTACATAAATGTTAATGATTTATGAGGGAGGGATGTATATAAGATTTGATGTAAGCAATATTTATAAAAGTTGTGTATAAATTAATCTTAATTTATATGAGGGAAGAATATTTATCAACTGCACTTGTAAAAAATTAGATAACAAAACTTTAAAATTAAGTTATTTTAATAAATTTTCATTGAAAAATATTAAAATATTCTAATTTTTAAAATAGAGATGAAATAATTTGCCTTTTCATGAGGTGCCCTATTGAAACAATATAGTTTTGAGTATTTTTTTGCCTGTACAGCTGAGGAATACATGCACAAAGGATTGTAGAGAATCAAGAAATCTCGATCATTAAAATGTTAGTACTTCTTATTAAATTATTTAAATACTCTTAACAAATCAATGTATAAAAAAAATTCATTAAAGATATTTAAATAATTTTATATGGAGTCTTAATATTTAAGATGTTCTAATTTTCATTTTTCTATATAAATGTGTGTGTAAAATTAAGGTTTATTAGCTGAATTTAAAAAAAAAAAATTAAGAAAAAAAATATTTTAAAACTATGTCATTTTATTAAAGTATTACAAGAAAAAATCAAAATAAACTCATTCTTAGTTTCAAATAGGTTATTTTGTTTTTTTTTTAGTGAAAGTTTATTGAAATGAGTTAATTTTGGACCTTTTTCCTCTTTAATTTTTAGAGACGCAACTTAAAAACACTTTCCCCTATATATATATGGATATTAGGGAAAAAGTGTATATCAATTCCAATTGGAATACTAATTTTAAATGACATTATTTTATTTAATGAAAGTATAATATAAATATAACAAATTCAACCAACCAATTCAACAAATTCTTATATTTTGTATATATGATTGCATATTTAAATTTATTTACCTATAATTTTAAATTATAAAATAATAATTTTTTAATAATTATATTATATGCTGTATTGAAATAAAATATGTACCAATTAATTTTTAATTAAAAATTTAAAATCTCAACTCTAAAAACACCACTTTTAGTTTTTAATATATAGTTTACAAAAAGGTGATGTTATAGGATGACTTTTTATTTCGCCTTTTTATATAATTTTTACATATTATTAAATGAGTGAATACATTTAATATCACGGGTCTCACATGAATTACAAGAATTAATTATTTAAATGATAAGTCAAGTTGTATAAAAAAGTGAGATAAAAAAATTGTACAAATTTTCTAAAAAAGACAAGAATGACATGCACTATATTTTAATATGTATGTTAAAAAAAAATTTTTGTAATGGAATTAATATATAAATAAAATCCATGTGTTTGCAGATGCACAAGAAGGCCAAAGTCCAAAACTTGTTTCTCCGAAGGACGGCAATGGTGACAGTCTTTCCGGACCATGATTATGGATTCATTGTGGCTCTTATCATTATTCTCGCAGCAATCAACGAACAGACTGGTGATACGGGTAGTGGTTGCTGTGGTGGTGGAGGTTGCTGTGGTGGCGATGGGTGGGGTGATGTCAGTGGCGGTGGTGAAGATGGTGATAATGATGGTGATAATAATGGTTGTGGTGCTTGCGGTGGTGGTGGTGGTTGCGGCAGCGGCGCCGGTTGTGGTTGCGATGACGGTGGTTGTTGATAGAAATTTTAATTTAGGTCCCGTTTGGTATAGCGGTTTTGAGGTAACGGTTAGCGGTTTTACTTAAACCGCTAAATATAGGTGTTTAGTAAATTTATATATTTCGAAACCGCTACAAATAAAGTGTTTGGTAAAATTTTTATTTAGTGGTTTAAAACTAGCAGATAGCGGTTAAAATCTAAACCGCTAGCGAATTGAAAAAACTAGTTTATGTAGCTTTTTGTATCAAACCGTTAGTGAATTAAAATTTTTTAACTTTATTGACAAATTTATCCATTTTAATTTTTTAATTTGTGGTCACATTTTTTAATTAATAATTATCTAATAAATTTCAATTTT